TATAAAACATACATTCTACTGATCAACACTCCACCTTGTTGCCTTGCCTCACTTTCAAATGGCGCCAGGTCGGCGCGAGTTGACAAACACTGAGCGCGAGGCAATCCTGCGAGAGGCTCTGATGCGCAGCAATGGCACCTTCATGACCAGATGCCTAAAGGGTTCAGCTCCGAGCTCGCTGCCAAGTACAGCTGACATGTGTCATGCATTTGCCGTAGTAGTGATGTATGAATATGCAACCTCGATAACGTACGTGTTGGTACTTGGAGTAGTTCTGTTGTGCGCGTTGGAGGGTTGTCGGTGTTAATTAACCCTCCTCCTGAATCGAATTGTGAGGTCTGATTTCCCGATATCGTGAATTTTTGGTTGATATGCGACGTGGAAATTGTAACGTTACACCCTTAATAATACGTATTCGAGATCTTAAATTTATGAGGTGTTATGATTTAATTCAGGGAGGGATACGTCTAATTTTCTTATCGCGCAAGTAAAGTGGATCAGAGGCAGTACTACTACGTAATAGTACTACGTAGTACGTAGTAATTCGTAACGTTAGGAAGAATACTTCAAGTGGGAGATGGTGACGACGACATGGGCGACTACTAGTATACTACCGTCTTGCGTAATACGAGTCAGACACCCATGTGTCGTATCCGAATCCGTATAACGCGCTATGGGACACTGAATTTTCCTTTTCTATCCAGACATACAATTTTCAATATCAGGTTAGTTCAAGTCCAACCTCAAAAAGTATGGATTTTAAACGAATAACAAATTTTACAGTTTTACAAAAGTCAAAGTACTTTTGCTTGGATTATAAAAATACAAAGAAAGATACAAACATGATGTTGATTACTACTAGTATATGGAGTACCACGAAGTCTATTATGTTTATCTCTTATTGGTCAACGTTCGCGTTACTTCGGCCACCATGGACATTCGACGTGCACAACTTGGGCGATCACGCGCGCCAGAAATGAAGCTACGTAGGGTGGACGAAGGAAAGGGCGTGGGTGAACACCGTCACGGGGACTAGCGGCAAGATTGTCGAAAGGCGCTCACCACATGTAACTTTAACCAACACATCTCACTTCAGTATACCGGTACACGCATATCATCCACAGTGATGCACTTCGTTCTGGTTTATGTATGTATGTATTCACACTTGTAACTTGGTGTGAATAGTTGTGAGATCTATTTATGTACGAAGAGCATTTCTAATCCTGCAAGAGCACGATCTCGAATGGGGTCGATGTGACAAATCCATGAGTAAGTTAACTTACATGTAACTTAGCAAGAACGTGGGCACGTTTAGCTGTGATATCAAGTTAGCACCATAGCTTAGTCCGATAATGTATGTCTTCTCTAACTCAGTCGCGTCGTCAATTAATCGTGTTTCGTCGATTCGGTTGGCACTCCACCCGAACAATTCACAACTTCCATTGTAACCTTGCACTCTTAGTAACTAACGGTAGGCTATTTTGCTGCTTACTGTTAGTGGACTTCTTAGCCCAGTACTAACGTTAGTACTTTATTATGAAGTCGATTCGCGTAAGGTAGGTCATGACAGTCGAGCACCTGTCAAAAGCACCTCTATACATCAATCTTACATTTATTTGTAGAGTATATATTGGATGCAAAGGAAACCCGTGTAAATACGTTTTCTGCGAGTGGCCAAATAATATCAAATGTTAGAGGTGTCTGACTCGTATAAGCGTCCGACTCGTATTACGCAAGACGGTACTGTATATCGGCAGCCGCACGCATTGTTGATGGTCTATTACTGTATGTAATAATAAATAGTACCATTTTGACCCATGACAAACTTTGTATTGCCCAATCACACCTCGTTATTTGTTCGAGTCAAAATCTATAATGCTGGCCATTCCATCTCGTGAATGAAATACAAAAACGGCGTAGAAGCCTTTGGTAATAGTCATTCAAGATTGGGTTTGAAGTACCCTAGTCGACACGGGCCACATTGGGTTGGATCTGAGGTTGTATCGAGTGTTAAACTCGGTGGACATCCTTCGACAGCATAAATATAACTCTATAAAACAATACCCTTGTACAAATTATATGAAATCTGTTGTAACCGCTTACCCTAAACACAGAATTTCAACACATCCAT